TCATCACAATTAAAAGAACCAAAGACTTAAACTACTTCAGTCTGTGTGCATTGAATTTATTTAATACACAAGTTTCACAATTTGAGTTGAATTACTGAAATAAATGAACTTTTCCACGACATTCTAATTTATTGAGATGCACCTGTATATATATATATATATATATATATATATAGTGGTTCAATGGATCATACTGTGGTTTTTGAGTCACAGATTGGATGATTTTTCGGATAAGCAAAAAAAATATTTAAAGCACAGAGAATGAGAATGCTGTGAAGGGTTTTTTGACATAACCGTGTATGCATCTTAAACGCAGGGAGACGTGAAAGAGGAATCATTCGTGCACTGTCTGAAGCACGTCTGTATGCTTGTGCATGCTTAAAATTGCTTGAACGTGTAAATTGGCAAATTAATCTGTGAATCAGATGAGTGCCGAACGCTGGGGTCTGGTCTGTATGGATCCCGTTTAACCCCTAATATATGACAGATCTGAGCAATCTTTCATTTACTAATTTAACACGAAATCGTCAAATTGCTACTCCATATCAATCACATAGAACGGAAATGCATAATAAATAGAACAATCATTAATGCACAATAAATAACAGTGTGTCATATCTGTACACATTTTTCCCAGAACGGTACTGGGTCGCGACCCGGTGGTCTAGACCAGTGTTTCCCAACCTTTTTTTAGTCGTGTCACACTTTGGAAATTTTAAGAAATTGTGGCACCCTACAAAATTAATTTTGTCACAATATTTGAATTTCTAACTTCGATATGATAATTTGAAAAGTATACAGCAGGGAAGAACTGCAGAATATAATGTCATACAGATATTTTTATATAAAAAAATTGTCCATCAATGGTGGCAATCAGTAGGCTAATTTCTAATGAAGAGACCAATTTATATGACAGATTTTAATGTAGGCTTTTATACATATGTAAACATTATACAAACCATTATAACTAAATAATATATAACCATTTATCCAAATAATGTTTAGCCCTAGAAAGCTATTATTACCAGAACACGTGAGCATAACATAACGGTTAGTGGATAAATGAATGAGAGGGCAGCGTTACCAGAGATGCCCACATATACCACACCATGTTACAGCACAGTAGGGCTATTGCAGACAGAAACAATACTGTACTACATCCATGTTTCCTGTCGGCTCAGTGTTTGAGTGGACTTTGCTGTTCCAATGAGCATGAACGGTATACGAGTGGAGCGACTGAGCGGAGCACACACGCATATAGAGCGGATAACACCCAGAGCGTCACACCACGTGAAAGTGAAACCTGAATATATGCTTCTTTGAACATTTTAGCAATTTAAAATATTAAAAAAATGATTTTTTTTTTTAGACGGCACCCCGGTTGGGAAACACTGGTCTAGACAAACACTATGAGTTTTATTAGCAGCACTTTAAAATCATAACCTTCTACAGATCTCTATGCTTCTTAATTTTACATAAAAGTATCTTTACATAAAATATGAAAATAACTGTTACTGAAGCTTCTGATCACACTGCAAAAAAACTGTTCTTCATCAGTATTTTTGATTTGTTTTACAGGGCAAATGTCTAACGATTCTTATATCAATTAGATTAGGTAAGAAGTCCTGTTTTATGAGAAACTAAACAAAATGAAGTAAGTTTATGATTAAAACAGTAACTTAATTGGAAGAGAAAACAAGTTTTCATTGTCAGATGTTTGTTCTTGTTTTAAGCAAAAACTCACTTAGTTTTGTTCAATTCCTCAGACTTAATTTCTTCATTCTGCATCTCCAGTAAATGTATCTTGATTTAAGGCTGTTCAGATATTTGCACTGGAAAACAAATATACATTTGGAGAATTTTCATGTTTTGCAGTGAGTGCAGCATCAAGAGCCCTGACTCTTGAGTGATGTGCGTCACACACGCTCTGGATCCGCGGCATCTCACCTGTGGCAGCGTCGTGAAGGCCGTGTAAACACACGCTCATCTGAGTGAAGACTGCGTTAGCACTGCTCTGACACATGGCATCTGAACACACACCTGCGGCAGAAGACAGCACTCATCAGTCACACACGCACTCGCACACACACACACACTCTCACACACACACACACACACACACACACTCACTGGGCAGGGCTAGCAGAGCCACGTAAGACTTCAGCTTCTGGAAGACGGCGGTCAGTTTCTTCATGTCCTTCTGTAACTGCCGGTTCTTGGACGCCAGCGCTGCCGTGCAGAGAGACGCCTCGCAGTCCTCCTCTAGACTGCACAACACACACACAAGCTCAAATTCATGACTGACGTCTCTGAGACAAGAAAGCACGTTGCCCTGCACTAATCAAAAAACTGCACTGCATTCACAGAGCTTGCGTTTTAACACATTGTATTGTAAAGACTTGCATTTTCAGTGCGGAAATTCAACATGATTTTATATTTCAGCTGTGAACATTTCAATTGGAAATTGCAAGCTCTGAAAATACATTCAAATGCAAGCACTGTTAATTAAATCTTTTTTTTTTTTTTGCTCATTTAGTGCAATTCCACATTTTTGTTTCATTAATTTAAAGGCACAATATGTAAGATTTTCGTAAGAAAATTTCCCCAAACCACTTGCACAGTATATTTCATGCAGTTGTGTAGCTACATTATCCCAAAAGTTCCCAAGGATTTGTAAATCCATAGAAATTCCAATTTTAAATAATGGCTCATCCCTGGTCAATGACGTAATATCCCCGCTATCCTCAGTTTCCGCTTGTAGAAACTGTGGTAACTCACGCACACAAATGCTGCTGTACAGTTAAACTAAATACATTACGGATATTGCGAATAAAATGAAAATGAAATGAAAAGTGTTGACTGCAACATTAAATTTAGATCTGCTCAATGTTGAGCCATGTTTTTTTATGCATTTTTACAGTGTTGCACATTATAACCTATCACACACACGAGTCTGTTGAGCTTATGAATGCAATGAGTTTTTGTTCAGTGACTGAATTCAGCTCTCACATGAATTCTCTCATCATAAACAACAAGTGTAGATGTACGTATTGTAGGGCCTCTGTGAACAGACCACCAAATGAGCTATTGAACAAACACATTCCAACGCAGGATCTGGAGACTCCCCGCATGGCCATCAAAAGGTTGTAAAATGAATCAATGGCCAGCTTGCCGCTCTGGAGGCCGTTCAGGACACCAGCGTGGTGAATGAGACAAACACACATTCATCCGGTGAAACAGCCGGTCTTTTGCAAAAAGACAAAATCTTCTTAAGCAGCTGAAAGCCAAATCTCTGCTTTTGCGATTTTCTCAGGTTTCAATTTAAGAACTAGTAGTAAATACTAGCCTTTTGGGACTCCATTCAAACCATAATTCTCATTCCCTGAACTGTGTGTGTGTGTGTGTGTGTTTTTAGTAGTGTAGTTTCATGTATAGTAGAGTAGATCAATACATTCTTGTTGCTTGCAAAGAAAGGCGTCTCATGTGTTCTGATCATTAGCTGCTGTCTCATGCCCAGATCTTGTTGACCTAGCTCACAGTTAATGAAATGATCACTAGCATGTATTATGACCTTTGGCCGAGGGAATAATATAAACATCAGAATTGGTAAGATATACTAACTTTTAACTATACGCTGGACGAATAGTTGATGAAGTGTAAAATATGAACTCTGAATCAGTTTTAATCAAGTTGATTCCAAATCTTTGGATTCGACTCCCATTGAACTTGCCCTAATTCCTTACAGTATGATGTAAGAGACTGATTCATCAAACCGTGTACAGACAGCTTCACTGCTTATAAGGGGAGAGTTTTGAGAGTGCTTAAACTCGCGCTAGACTCAAATCAGTCATAATGTTCTTTGCTTGCTTTCTCTGTATATTTGTTTCGCTATTTGAATAACTGTGGAAGGTAGAGGCAATTAAAAAAATAATAAAAAAATGAATTCATTATCTCATCCGTGAACATCCTCCTTTCACAGCGTCATTAAGCTTCGCCTTTATTGTTTTGAAAATGTGACCTCTAGCCGCGAAAACTTACATATTGTGCCTTTAATGTAAAAAAACAAGCAGCAAGATATTTTGTGTCAGTCAGTTTCTAAATATTCTAAACATATTATATATCAAGGTTGGACAATATGACCTAAAATCTAAATCTCGATTAATTGAACATTTTACCTCAATTACGATTAATGTACAATGATTATATAATTTTGTTTATTTATTTGCCCTCATAGTTCACTGACAAGGTTAGTACTATAAATATGCTCAACTATTAAAGGTGGGATATTTTAGAGTGCATTCCTTATCTTTGTGATTTTATAATAATTGAAGGAAACAAACTATATATGGCATGTTTCAAACCATTAAAATCAAAACACAAATTTCTTGAAATGAAAATGTCTTCTGAAAAGTCAGATTTCAGTTTTACTGTAAAAACGCTGCTCCGGTCGCTCAGATGACTCGGGGCTCTGTTACTGGACGGAGTCACAAGACTACACACACGGGAGCTAGTTTTCAAGAGAAACTCAGGGCTGCCAGTTCAGCGTTGTTTTTTAATTAATAAAGCGATCGCCCTTAATGTGATTTTGGCAGAGGGGACACCCAACGAAGGGGAAAACTCTCTGAAAAAACGCGATTGGGTTAGTTTTGAATAGCAATCGGCCTTGTTTTGTTTGGCGGACCTGGCACACCTGCGGAAAGTATTAAAAAAACTGTATATGTGTGAAGCTGACAGAGCAGCGGCCTGATCTCGGTGTGCCTCTGTGGTGGTGAAGCAGTCAGCGGTCGCACCTCTGGAGCTGGTAGGGCAGGATCTTCTGCAGGAAGCTGCTGTAGGAGGAGAAGGATCTGGAGAAGTCCTGCAGCTTGATCAGCGTCTCCTGCAGACACAGTGAGACTGGAGTCAGGCGTGTGTGTGCGTGTGTGAATGTGAGAGTGTGTGTGTGGAGTGCGTGTGTGTGTGTGTGGAGTGCGTGTGCGCACGAGCGTGAGTGTCTGCGTGTGTGTGCGCGTGTGAGTGCGTATGTGTGTGTGCGTGTGCGAGTGTGTTTGTGAGTGCGTGTGTGAGAGTGAGTGATTGTGTGTGAGTGCGTATGTGTGTGCGCGTGTGTGTTTGTGAGTGCGTGTGTGTGTTTGTGAGTGCGTGTGTGAGTGAGTGAGTGATTGTGTGTGAGTGCGTGTGTGTGTAAATGCGTGTCTCACCAGAGCGGTGATGCTGTCTTCTGTGATGCTGTGATGCAGCTGCAGCAGATCCTCCTCCAGCGGACGCAGGTACGAGGCGTTCTCGTGCAGATACTGAGAGAACTGCACACAGACACATCACACAGATACGTGCTCCGCTTACATGAATCAGCAGATTCAACATTACATGAGCACTTTAATTCAACAATGAAGCATAATCAATACGTCCTGCACGGCTAACAGCTGCAGATTTAGCCTGAGTTCAGTCCTTAAAATATACTAGTATCTGTTTCCATGCTACCAGTACTTATTATTTTAGCTGCTAGTATCTATTCCATTAAGTACTAGCACTTATTCTTTATCTACTAGTCATTAAAAAAAAAAGTACTTATTTTATAATAGTACTTATTAAATACTAGACCTTAATTATTAGATACTAGTTCTTATTCATTACACTAGTACTTTTTCTAATAGTGACTAGCAACTACTCTATTGCTGCTAGTAACACATTTCCAATTTTTGCCATTCCCTTCAATGGCAGGCAAAAGCCGATCACCATCTCCACGTGGTGCCCACTGGACAACGACCTGAGGGAAGTTGACAAACTGTGACGGTCTCCAACGTCAGGTGGAGCGACGCATCGGTTGGAGTATTTTTCGGTCGTATCAATGGCTACGCCTAGTCAAAATTAGGATCTGAACGCTAGGGTGTCCCCCGTAGGCGACGCGCGTCATCCTCACCCCCAACAACATGAGAAATGTGTGAGGGTTCCCTGCCGATGGACAAAGCCAAAGAGTCCAAATACGAATTGCAACATTAAATGTTGGAACGATGACCGGAAGAAGCCGAGAATTGGCCGAAGCTTTAAAGAACCGCCGCATCGACATCGCGTGCTTTCAAGAAACCAAATGGAAAGAAGATAAGGCCAAGGAGATCGGCGAAGGATACAAACTTTATTACAACGGCACTAGTAATAACCGAAATGGCGTTGGGATCGCGGTCAGCAAGAAACAGCGGGACAACGTCACCGAAGTCCACCGAATTTCCGATCGACTCATTGCCATCGAGATAGAATCGGGCAAGACGACTCTTCGAATTGTCTCCAGCTATGCCCCGCAGACCGGCTGCCCTGACAACGAGAAGGACGCTTTCAGGGAGAGCTTAGACACCCACCTCCAAACCATGGGCTCCAACGAATACGTCGCATATGGTGGTGATCTAAATGGACACATTGGATCAGCTAGAGGCGGATACGGGTAAACGAGTGGAAATGGGTACGGCGACCGAAATGAAGGCGCCGACCGCATTTTGGAGTGTACCGAAACCCACGACTTGCCAGTGATCAATACCTTCTTGAAACCTGACTGAAGAATTTCAGTCAGGTTTCAGGCCCCACCATAGCACAGAAACTGCACTTGTTAAAATTACAAATGACTTGCTTCTTGCGTCAGACCAAGGCTGTGTCTCATTGCTAGTTTTACTTGATCTTAGTGCTGCATTCGACACTATAGATCATGACATACTCATAGATCGATTACAAAACTATACAGGTATTCAAGGGCAGGCTTTAAGATGGTTTAGATCCTACCTGTCCGATTACTACCACCTTGTTCATTTAAATGGGGAGGATCGGAAATGTAACGCCCCTTACCATAATCGCCAGCTTCATCTTTCACAATAAATGTAAAGGCAGAGCCCGAAAGGGCAACAGAGTCACGTGACCGACACAGTGATGAAGCTGGTATGTGTTTGTGATGTGACTGGTTATTATTATTAAGTTTCTTTCCGGCTCAGACTGCATAGTTAAGCTTATGGGTCAGTCACGTGATGAACGAATGACTCGAAAAACCCGAAGACTCGAGAGATGAACTAATCAATTCTCTTTTCAGCTCAGACTGCATTGGTTAAAGTTTATGGGGCTGTCACGTGATGAACGAATGAATGGAAAAACCCATATACTCGAAATAGGTGAACTACTTGATTAATTCCAGTACAGAACCTTTTGGATGTTGTGCATGTGCGACTGAACGAATCACACCCCGAGACGACTCGTTCTTCCCGAGTCACATTAAAGATTCGATCAAACTGAACGAATCGTTCAAGAACGACTCAACACTACTCTCGCGTGCTCTCTCTCTCGCTTGCGCACACACACACAATGTGCAAAACTCCGCATTTGAACCGTCAATAGCAAATACTTAAACTAATAAAACAGTAGCTGATTCAGAAGCGCCAGACACAGTGATGAAGCTGGTATGTGTTTGTGATGTGACTGGTTATTATTATTAAGTTTCTTTCCGGCTCAGACTGCATAGTTAAGCTTATGGGTCAGTCACGTGATGAACGAATGACTCGAAAAACCCGAAGACTCGAGAGATGAACTAATCAATTCTCTTTTCAGCTCAGACTGCATTGGTTAAAGTTTATGGGGCTGTCACGTGATGAACGAATGAATGGAAAAACCCATATACTCGAAATAGGTGAACTACTTGATTAATTCCAGTACAGAACCTTTTGGATGTTGTGCATGTGCGACTGAACGAATCACACCCCGAGACGACTCGTTCTTCCCGAGTCACATTAAAGATTCGATCAAACTGAACGAATCGTTCAAGAACGACTCAACACTACTCTCGCGTGCTCTCTCTCTCGCTTGCGCACACACACACAATGTGCAAAACTCCGCATTTGAACCGTCAATAGCAAATACTTAAACTAATAAAACAGTAGCTGATTCAGAAGCGCCAGATTGTCATAGCAAAGTCAGAATTACCTCCTCTCCTAGGTTCATGAAACGGTCGTCCATAAAATGCATTGTTGTTCTGTTCTACTTTCAGAAGGCCAAATAAAGTGCTTTTGCTTTCGCCTAGAAACACACAGCGTCTCCCTGACATGCTGCTTCAACACTAACTGCGGTTACTGAAACCACACCGCCTTTCTTTGCGTGCACATTTGGGCAGTATTATGCAAATATTTCCACATAGTGAGGTAGATATGTGGGGGTGTGTTAGAACGAGCCGTTTTAGGGGGCGTGGCAGAGTCTTAACTTTGATAAAGAATACCTCTTTGGTTTTGAGACTTTAGTCTTTGCAACTTCAGGGATCTTATCTATGCACAATCAGCTCGTAACACTCCAAAGAGAAAGGAAAACTTGAAATCCATCTGGGACGAAGCGGTGAGACAAGTTCACGAAGCGGCAGCCACTGGAAGACGAAGCTGGGAAAACGCCTCCTCGATAAGCAAATTTGGTTTTGGAATGAGGAAGTGCAAGCAGCAGTCAAGGCGAAGCAGCAGGCGCTCAAGGCGTGGTTTCAGTCCCTCACCGATGGCGATTTGCAACGATACAAAACCCTCAAACCCACTTCAAAACGAACCTTGGCAGCAGTGAAAGCGGCCCATTATGACCGGCTTTACACTGAGTTGGACACGCCAGAAGGGGAAAAGAAGATCTATCGGTTGGCCAACACTCACCACCGAGCCACCCAGGACATCGGCCAAATCAAAAATGTCAAGGATGAAGACCACCGAATCATCCGAGACACACCCACTATCCTCCGACGCTCGAGCGATTACTTCGGTAAAATCAGCAACGAAGAATTCGACCACCCGCCGATCCGATCTCTGGACCCGTTCTGCTGATAATCAAAGTCGTCGAAGAAGCTATGAAGAACGGAAAGGCCACTGAACCTGATGACATTCCTGTTGAAGCGTGGAAAATCCTCGACCACCACGGAGCCAAATTCCTTGCCGCCCTCTTCAACCGAATTATCAACGATGGCGCCGCACCAGCGGCGTGGATGACCGGCATAACGGTGGCCATTTGGAAGGGCAAGGGCGATGTGATGGAGTGCTCAAACTACCGACTAATCCGTCTTCTGTGCCACGCCATGAAAGTATTCGAACGGGTCATCGACGTCAGACTTTGGAAGATCGTCAGCATCATGCCGAACCAATGCAGCTTAGTTAAGGGCTGCTGGACGATGGACGGCATCCACGCGGCTTGCCTACTCCTGGAGAAACATCGAGAGAAAAACAAGCCTGTCCACATGGCGTTCCTCAACCTGGATAAGGCTTTTGATTGCGTCCCGCACAAGCTCATATGGCATGCCCTACAATCGCATAACATCCCCGAGGCCTACGTCCATTGGATCCAACTCCTTTATCGAGGCATCAACAGTGTGGTCTGGTGCACGGCCGGAACAATTCGCCATTAATGTCGGAGTGCACCAAGGATCAGCCTTATCGCCCTTTTTTCAGACCTGAAGAATGTGCAACAATTCAAGTACCTCGGCTGCATCATCTGCAGTGATGGAGAGTCTCTTCCAGCCTCTTCCCCGCCGCCTGGACGAAATGGCACCAGGTAACGGATGTCACCTGCGACCACCAGATGCCTTTGCGCCTCAAGTCGAAAATCTACAAGACCGTGGTCCACCCAGTCGCCCTGTATGGATCTGAAAGCAGGCCGGCGACAGCAAAGCACGAGCAAGCTCTCCACGTCATGGAAATGCGAATGTTTCATTGGAGCCTTCAGCTAACGCGATTCGACCGCACCATGAACGAAGACGTACGACGACGGCTGTGTGTTGCACCAATCACGACCAAGATGATGGAAGGATGGCTCAAATGGTACAGACATGTTATCCGCAGCGGCGAAAATTCAGTAGCGCAGACCGCCTTGCGTCTCGAGACTGAAGGCCGGAGGACCAAAGAAAAGATGGATGGACCGGATTACTGAAGACATGCGTTATGTGAACGTTGTCCCAGAAGACACCTTGGATCGAGCCAAATGGAGACGAGCGTGCCGACAAGCGGACCCTGCCACTGCGCGGAATAAACGCTAGGACGAAGAAGAAGCCATTCCCTTCAATGGGGATCGGTCACTCAGATATCAACTATTCTGACTAGTATTAATTACAATTGTGAAAAATTATTATTTTATATACTAGCAGTTATTCATTGGGTACTAATACTTATTTTTATATACTAGCACTTATTATTAGATTTTTATATCTATTAAACAGATACTAGCATTTATTCATTAGATACCAGTTTTTATTTATTATATACTAATACGTTTTTCAATTGTTACAAGTAAGCTTTTTATTTTACTAGTAAGATTTTTATTTAATAAAACTCCACAGTGGCCATTCTGAGTAGTAATACAACTTTTCTGACTAGAGTAAAAAAGCTGTGGTGACTAGTAAAATAAGATTTGTTACTAGTAACAATTACAAAAGATACTAGAGTCTAATTAATAAGTACTAGTAATATTTTAAAATACTAGTCACAGTTGGAATACATACTAGTCAGAACTGAATAGTTGACATCTGAATGAAAGATTAGTAACTACTAGTCACTTCTGAAATAAGTACTAGTATCTAATGATTAAGTGCTATTGTCTTTAATATGTTAGCAGTACCTAGAGCAGGGTAGCCATCATCAGTCCTGGAAACACTAATCAAACAGACCTATAGCAGCTCATCGAGGTCTACAGGCAGGTGAGTTTGATCAGGGTCGGAGCTAAACTCTGCAGGACTGTGGCTCTCCAGGACTGACGCTGACCACCCCTGGCCTAAAGAAAGAGTACTAGTACTTAATGGCATAGATACTGTGAGCTAAAAAATCTGTCTGATATGTAAGAGATATTGAAGAGTCGCTACTGCATTATTAAAGTGTGTTGTGGTGATGGAGATCCGTCATGGAGCACATCACTGTCCAGAGAGGAACTCTTCATCTGCTCACATTCACACAGCAAACACGTTTGTCCAGTGATTAAATATAATTATCATTACATCATTTTCTGTACAATACCTCTGTTTAAGGTGCTGAATGCTTGAGCTAAATTCATCCAATCAACACCATAATTAGCATTAAATGAGAAAACAGAATGAAATTGTTTTCTGACAGAAAGAGCCACATATTTCAGCAACAGTTTAGAAAAGCTGAACTGATTGACTGAAGCGGTGATTAGCGTTTCTCTGCTGGCGTGTTTTGACTGTACGAGTGTTTGTTTCACACTACAGCAGTATGCCACGAGATATTTAGATCTGCACTGTATTCAGCTGATGAGTGAACTAAACTTCATTAAACATTAGCTGTAGCTGTGGCCATCCAATAATCACAAGGAGATATGTGACCCTGGACCACAAAACCAGTCATAAGGGTAAATTTTTTTTAAATTGAGAACTGAATAAATAATCTTCCCATTGATGTATGGTTTGTTAGGATAGGACAATATTTGAAAATCTGGAATCTGAGGGTGCAAAAAAAAAATCTAATTATTGAGAAAATCATCTTTAAAGTTGTTCAAATGAAGTTCTTAGCAATGCATATTACTAATCAAACATTAAGTTTTGATATATTTACGGTAGGACATTTACTAAATATCTTCATGGAACATGATCTTTACTTAATATCCTAATGATTTTTGGCATAAAAGAGAAATGTATAATTTTGAGCCATACAATGTATTGTTGGCTATTGCTACAAATATCCCCCAGCGACTTAACACTGCTTTTGTGCTCCAGGGTCACATACTATCTTTTTAATACAAAACACTTTCTTCGATCTCAAATTATGTGAATTTTATCACAAAATTCAATCAATAAATCTGGTTTTGTGGCTCTGTAATGTGGCGTGGCAGATCACTATGGCAGCCAGTGAAGTCATATTCAGTTTCAGTTTTCAGCTCAATAAAACCTTTACTTTGGTTTCTGTGTTTTGGTAAAAATGAATTTGGGTGCATCACTACATTAGCGGATCATGAAGTGAGCAGATGCAGTCAGTGCCGTACCTTCAGGTTGACGGGTGAGATGGCCTCGATGGATGAGTCCAGCGGATAGATGTGGACTCTCTGCTCCGTGTAGGAGTGAAAGTTCAGCAGAGCCGAGACCAGACTCTGCACAAACCCTAGAGCCTGAGCCGCCACGTCACGAGCCTTCAGCTGCACACACACACACACACAAATCTCTGTTTACATGGTAGATTCTTAATCAGAGTATCGTCTTAATCGTGTTAAAATCTGAATATTTTTTTCCATGTAAACGTGACAGCAGGAGCATCCCTCTCACCTGATGCCTTCTGTTGTGCAGAGGAACGTTCAGACTGTTGTAGTCGCTCAGCTCTGCAGGAAACACAACACTCACAGTGACACACATGACTAAACACCAAACATATGTGTGGGTGTGTGTGTGTGTGTGAGAGAGAGAGAGAGTGTGAGTGTGTGTGAGAGTGTGTGTGTGTGTGTGAGAGAGTGTGAGTGTGTGTGAGAGAGAGAGTGTGTGTGTGTGTGTGTGTGTGTG